TCAATAGTATTTATTTCTGCTCTGATTTTTATTATTTCTCTCCTTCTGCTGACTTTGGGCTTCATTTGTTCTTTTTTCTCTAGTTCAGTTTCGTGTGCTTTAAGGTTGCTTATTTGGGATTTTTCTTGTTTGTTAAGATGAGCCTGTATTGCGATGAATTTTCCTCTTAATACAGCTTTTGCTGTATCCCATATGAGTTGGTATGGCATGCTATCATTTTCATTTGTTTCCAGGTATTTTTTTATTTCTTCTTTAATTTCTTCAATGATCCATTGCTTGTTCAGTAGTGTGTTGTTTAGTCTCCACATCTTTGTGCCTTTCTCAGCTTTTTTCTTGTAATTAATTTCTAGCCTTATAGCACTATGATCTGAGAAGATGCTTGTCATTATTTCAATTTTTTAATATTTATATAGGCTTGCCTTGTTTCCCAACATATGGTCTATCCTAGAGAATGTTCCATGTGCACTTGAGAAGAATGTGTATTCAGCTCTTTCAGGGTGAAGTGATCTATATATGTCTATTAAGTCCAATTGTTTTAGTTTTTCATTTAGCTCCACTATTTCCTTGTTGATTTTCTGTCTGGATGATCTGTCCATTGATGTGAGTGGGGTGTTGAAGTCTCCTACTATTATTGTGTTGTTTTTAACATCTTCCTTTTGGTCTGTTAATAGTTGCTTTATGAATCTTGGTGCTCCTATGTTGGGTGCATAGATATTTATAAGCGTTATTTCTTCTTGATTGTGTCCCTTTGATCATTATATGTTGTCCCTCTGTGTCTCTCTTTACCTGTCTTTTTTTGAAATCCACTTGGTCTGATATGAGAATTGCAACACCTGCCTTTTTTTCCTTGCTATTTGCTTGAAGTATTGTCCTCCACCCCTTCACCCTGAGTCTGTGTTTGTCCTTGGGGCTGAGGTGTGTTTCCTGGAGGCAACAAATTGTTGGATCATGTTCTTTAATCCATTTTGCCACTCTGTCTCTTTTTATTGGAGAGTTCAATCCGTTCACATTGAGAGTGATTATTGATGCATGTGGACTTAGTGCTGTTAATCTGTCGCTCATTATCTTGTTTTCCTGTGTTTCTTTTCCTGTTTGCTTTAGACTACCCATTTAATACTGCAATTTCTTATGCTGGGTTTCTTAGATTTTTCCTTATTTATGATTTGTGACTCCGTTCTGTACTTTATTTTAGTGTCTACCTTGAAGTTTGTATTTAGAATCTCGTGTATAATATAGTCTATTCTCTGGTGGTCTCTTACTTACTTGACCAATACTGATTTAGACCCTTTGCTCTTCCCCTCCTAAATAATTATTTTTATTTTTTTATTCCAACTCATCTTATTAATTGGTAGTTAGAGTGCTAAGATCGTCCTTGTTTTGGTAGTTTCCTTACCTTTACCCTAATGCTATAATAGAATATTTGCTATCCTTTTCTGGTTCTATCCATCAGTCTCCCTAGTCTGTGGATTGTGTTCACTTTCTCCCTTTTTTCCTTTTTCATGTATGAGAGCCTTCTTGAGGATTTCTTGTAATGGAGGTCTTTTGGTTACAAATTCCCTTAACTTTTGTTTGTCTGGAAAAGATTTAATTTCTCCCTCATATCTGAAGGAAATTCTTGCTGGATAGAGTATTCTTGGCTGAAGATTTTTATCCTTTAAAGCTTTGAATATGTCACTCCATTCTCTCCTAGCTTGTAGGGTTTCTGTAGAGAAATCCGCTGACAGTCTGATAGGGGCTCCTTTATAGGTTATTCTCTTCTTTTTCCTTACTTCCCTGAGTATTCTTTCCTTATCATTCCTATGTGCCAACTTTACTATTATGTGCCTTGCGGTGGGTCTTTTTACATTGACAAATCTAGGAGATCTAAAACCCTCCTCTACACACATTTCTCTGTTGATCCCTAGATTTGGGAAGTTCTCTTCAATAATTTCATTAAGCACACTTTCTGCTCCATTTTCCTTTTCCATATTCTCGGGAATTCCTATGATCCTTATGTTTTTACTCCTCATTGAATCCATTATCTCTCGGAGATTTTCCTCATTTTTTTAAATTCTTAGTTCTCTTTCTTCCTCTGTCTGGTGCCATTCAGCCTGTCTGTCCTCGATTATGCTGATTTGCTCCTCTATGTGGTCTACATGGGCATTCAGGGAATCCGTATTCTGTTTTATCTGGTCCATTGTTTTTTTCATCTCAAGTAATTCTGTTTGATTCTTCTTTATGATTTCAATCTCTTTTGTGAAGTAACTCCAGAACTCGGCTTGTTTCTCTATCTTTCTCTCTACCTCATTGAGTTTTTTGATTATAGCTGCTCTGAATTCATTATCACTTAGTTTACCTAATTCCAAGTCCTCAGGACTTAATTCTGTGTTTTTGTTCTTTTCCTTCTGGTCTGGGGCTTTTATAAATTGCTGGATGGTAGAGGAGCGGTTTTTTCTCATGGTGGTAGAATTCAGTTGCAGTTACAGCCTGTTGCCACTAGATGGGGGTCGAGAGCGGCGTGTTATCCTCCGCCTTGGGGCAAGATGGCTGCGCCCACCGGCTTTGCCAAGGGGGAGGGGCTGTTACTCACACACGCCGGTCTGGGTTCAGACCAGTTCTGTTCTCTGGTCTCCCAAGGCCCTTGATTTATAGGGTCCCCGCGGACGGAAGCATCCCCCCCCCCCGCCCCGTCAGCGGGTCTGCAGGTCTCCACTGAATCAGCGGCAGGAGTCCTGGATGATCCCCCGGTTGCGCGGCCCCTCCCCTGCTCCTTCCCGACCCACGCGGCAGCGATCGCAGACTTTAGGGGAGGGAGCGATGTTCTCTCCTACCGTTCCAGGGCCTCCGAGGGTGTAAGCAAGGTTTATGATCTCCGCCTTCTTGGTATTGTAGGTCTCTAATGAGCTGGCATTATGTTTATTCTCTGAAATTCAGTTCTTCCAATCTTTTGTTGTATTTTGGAGGGGAGAGAATCCCGGGTCAGCCCACCCCGCCATTTTGCTCTGCCCCCCTCCCCTCTGCTCACTTTTTAACCAGATTGTTTGGGTTTTTATTGCTATCAAGTTGTATGAGTTCTTTATATATTTGGATATTAACCCCTTAGCAGATATGATTTGCAAATACTTTCTCCCAATTCATAGGTTGCCTTTTCATTTTGTTGATGCTTTTTAGTTTGATATGGTCCCATTTGTTTTTGCTTCTGTTGCCTTTGATGTGAAATCCAAAAAATCCTTGCCAAATGACACCAAGTATCTTACCCTCTGTGTTTTCTTCTAGGAGTTTTATGTTTGCATGTTTTAGGTTCAAGTCTTTAATCCGTTTTGAGTTAATTTTTGTGTATCATATAAGATAATGGTCCAGTTTCATTATTTTGCATGTGGCTGCTCAGTATTTCCAACACCATTTATTGAAGAGACTGTCCTTTCCCCATTTTTATTCTTGGCTCCTTTGCTGTAAATTAATTGGCCATATATGTGTGGGTTTATTTCTGGGCTCTCTATTCTGTCCCATTGATTTATGTGTCTGGTTTAATGCCAATAACATATTGTTTTCATTACTATAGCTTTATAATATAGTTTTAAATCAGGGAGAATGATGTCTCCAGCTTTGTTCTTCTTTCCCAATATTGCTTTGGCTATGTGGGGTCTTTTGTGGCTTCATATAAATTTTAGGATTGTTTGTTCTGTTTCTGTGAAAAATGCCATTGGAATTTTGATAGGGGTTGCATCGAGTCTGTAGATTGCTTTGGATAGTATGGACATTTTAACAATATTAACTCTTTCAATCTATGAGCATGGAATATCTTTCCATTTATTTGCATCTTCTTCAATTTCTTTCATCCATGTCTTATAGTCTTCCGTGTACAAGTGTTTCACCTCTTTAGTTAAATCTATTCCTTGGTTTTTTATTCTTTCTGATAGAATTGTATATGGGATTGTTTTCTTAATCTCCCTTTCTCATGGTTCATTATTAGAAATGAACCCAACATTTATAGAATGTATAGAAACCCAACAAATTATACTGATTTTGCATCCTGCAACTTTACTGAATTTGTGTGTTAGTTCTAACAGATTTTTTGTGGAGTCTATATATAACATCATGTTATCTGCAAACAGTGACAGTTTTACCTCTTCTTTTCCAATTTGGATGACTTTTATTTCTTTTTCTTCCATAATTGTTCTGGTCAGGACTTCCAATATTATGTTGAATAAAAGTGGTGAGAGTGAGAATCTTTGTCTTGTTCCTGATCTTAGAGGAAAAGCTTTCAGCTGTTCACCACTGAGTATGATGTTAGCTGTGGGCTTGTAATATATGGTCATTATTATGTTGAGGTATACTCCCTGTATACCCACCCAAAAGAGTTTTTATCATAAATGGATGTTTAATTTTGTCAAATGCTTTGTATGCATCTATTGACCTGAGCATATGATTTGTATCCTTGGTTTTGTTAATGTGGTGTATTGCATTAGTTGATTTATGGATATGGAACTGTCCTTGCATCCCTGGAATAAATCTCACTTGATCATGATGAATGATTTTTATAATGTATTCTGGAATTCAGCTTGCTAACATTTTGTTGAAAATTTTTGTGTCTATGTTCATCAGGGATACTGGCCTGCAATTTCCCTTTCTTGTGACACCTTTGTCTGGTTTTGGTATCAGGGCAATTCTGGCCTTGTAAAATGAGTTTGGAAGTATTCCCTCCTCTTCTACTTTTTGGAATGGTTTGAGAATGATTGGAAATAATTTTTCTTTAAATGTTTTGCATTAATTCTTCCTTAAATTGTTGATACAATTCACCAGTGAAGTCTTCTGGTCTGGACTTCTGTTTGTTGGAAGGCCTTTGACTGCTAATTCAATCTCGTTCCTAGTAAACAGTCTGTTCAGATTTCTTATTTCTTCATGATGAAGTGTTGGTAGGTTGTATATTTCTAGGAATTTATACATTTATTCTAGGTTGTCTAATTTACTGGCATATAATTGTTCATAGCAGTCTCTTATGATCCTTTGTATTTCTGTGGTATCGGTTATTAGGTCTCCTTTTTCATTTCTGATTTTATTCATTTGAGTCCTCTCTTTTTTTCTTGGTAAGTCTGGACGAAGGTTTCTCAAGAGAAAGCTGTTGCTTTTAAAATATTTTCTGTTTAAGAACAGGTTGCAGTAAACAATGTATACAGGCTCCCAAGTGAAGTGTGAAAGTACTCCTGCTAAACTATAGTACTCAGTGAAGTAGGACTGAAGATCCTAGAAGGCGTTGGCCTTCATAGATGAAGGAAGTGAGAGAAATAGTACCAATTGTGCAGATTTTCTGGTTGTAGTTAAAAGTAGACCTGTTAATGGGAAAACAACATAATTAAGATAGTATAAGAATTTGCTGAAATTCTCATGCATTTGAATGGAGAAGGAATCGTGCTATTGCTATTGCATTGTGAAGTCAATTGTTCCAATGCAATTATAGAAAAGTTCTCCAAGGACTGCTGGATTAGTATCGGTCATCCATACCACCATCAAGTTAACAGAAATGACATAGTTTGCACTCCTTCTAATCCAATAGTTGAAAGAGTGGTAACTAAAATTAGTATTGTAATAAGATATAAAAGTAAAATATTGAAAGATTGGCTGATATTAGGGTCTGAATGTGCATATCAAATTAAGAATTCCATTTGATCATGTGATAAAAAAGCGCTACTGAATGAACATTATTGGAATATAGTAAACTAGACTGTGATTTCCTTGAAGTTAGAGTTCATGTCTGTTTTGCTTGCAGTTATGTCCCAGCACCTAGCATCCTGCCTGACAAACAGTAGGTGCATATTGAATGTTTGGGTAGGAAACTGATGAGTGGAAAGTCGATATGTACTGGGCCATTTTCACTGTCAGCTGAGAAAGCTTTTCTCCCACTGTTTCCCAAGGTGGATCCTCCACAGTTAATCAACTGTGGTGGCCCAGGTCTAAGCTCTGCCCTCACCCTTCACTCTCACCGTCGGTGGGGGGGGAAAATCTCTTTTAAATAACTTGGTCTGGGGTGAGCAGGGGAGGTCGCAACGGTCAGGGAAGTCAGTGCTCCAGAAGCCTCTGCACCATGAGTGTCTCTGGGCTGAGCCCCACCAGACCTCTGGGTGGTATCTCTGGGATCCTGCAAGTGGCCTCCCTGCTCGGCCTGGTTCTGCTGCTGCTCAAGGCTGCCCAGCTCTACCTGTGCAGACAGTGGCTGCTCAAAGCCTTCCAGGAGTTCCCGTGCCCTCCTTCCCACTGGCTCTATGGGCACCGCCGGGAGGTAGGAAGGGCCAGGGCTCTGAGAGCCTGGTCAGCAGGTCCATCTGACAAAGCCGTGTTGTGTGATGAGCACGTGGCCCCTGGGAAAAGCCTTACTTCTCAGGTCTCGGCTCCTCATCCCAGTCCAGGGAGCTCACTCCCTCACAGGAAGCCTGAGCACTTCCTTTGACTGACAGCCTTGCACTTTAGGACAATGACTGTTCCTGCCTGAATCTCCCCCCTCTAGGCTGAGCAGCTTCAGCTGTTCTCACAGAACAGGCTTCTAGATGCTTCCTTGCACTAGTCACTCGACCCCATCCTGTGTGCCTGGCCATGAGCTTGCCCGGGAACACAGATATCACTCTATGGATCCCTGCCCCATGGGGTTCAGTCTGTGGAGATTATAGACAGGAATCTAAGAAGGTGTCAGGTCACAGGAAAAGAAGCTCACTTGTTGGGCTTGGGGGCTGCTGTCAGATGCAATGGGCCAACTGACTTGGTTTGCCCAAGACTGGGGGATTTTCCAGACTGATAATTTCAGTGCTAAAATGCTGACAAGTCACTGGCACACATGGGAGAGAAGGTTTCCAGGATGGCCCCATGTAAGGAGTTCTGACATTTGAGTTGCACCATTAACAGGATGAGGTTGCCTGCTTGCTCTCCTCCCTCATACCCTGGACTGTGAATTCTTGGAACTGAGCATATAATCCCCCTCACCTCACTATACTGCACAGAGCCTGGCACAGAGGTGAACAAACGTTAGGAGGAAAAGAGAGGCTGCAGAGAGCCGAGATGCCTCTTTCCTCAGAGATGGAGGCAACATGATTATAGTAGAGTGGAGTCAAAGATGGGAACTTGAAACAGCCAAAGTCCCATATGGGCTGGCCCCAATACCTCTCGCCTTTCTCCTTCCTAATCTCTTGCTTGACCCTAAGTTACTCATTGTCCTCCCTACCTCCCTGTGCATTCCAGCCTCTGGGTCTCTGCTCACACTATGCCTCTACCCAGAATGATCTTGTCCCTCACATGTCCTCACCAAGGTCCAGCCCAAACTACCTCCTCTGAGATGTCTTTCTGGGTCTCCCAGGAGCAGGGGAGACAACCCTTTTCCCCACAGACACTGCTTCTCATAAAGCAGTGCTGGTGTTATTCAGCTATTTTTGTCTGCAGTGTCATAGCTGTGAGCTCCTTCTGGGAGAGATCACCTCTGATTCATCTTTGTAACCCAGTAGCATCTTGGTAAATGATGACTTGATGAGTGAGCAAGTACATGAGGAAGACCTTTCTCATGTTCACTTCTGAGTTAGGCCCTCCTTCCCCAAAGCTTCCCTGGAGTCTTGGGCTTCCTTCCATCACAGCATTAATTATTCTGTATGTCATGGCCTCAATGTTTCTGTCTCTCCAACTGGGCCAGAAGCTCCAAACAGGTAAGATTCTATAGCCATATTCTAATTCAGTACTTAAACCTGTGCCTGGAACATAGTAAATCCTCAATGAATATGTGCTGAATGAAGGAACCTGTCCCACAGAAAGGCAGGTTGCCTCAGAACATGTGAATCCTGATTGTCAGAAGGAGGTAGACAGAGATTGGATACCAATGTAGCAGATAGGTGCTTTCAGTTACATAGAAGCAGTTGAAATAAAGAAGAGGTGACTAACTGGAACTTTTACAGGAGCAAATACCTACCAGAATTCCAGAGGTGATAAAACAAAGCTGTCTTAAAAGTTGAGGAGAGGCAGTGGCTCTGTAGCAAAGAGGAGGGCACTCCAAGTAGAGGAAAGAATGTGTGCCAAGGCCTACAAGGGTAAGCAGGGTTAGCTGGTGTCAGGAGCACTGGCAGCAGCATCTTGGGGATGGAGCAACAGGTCCTGGTGGAATAGCCAGCATGGCAAGAGGCAAGAACAGAGAATGTAAAGTTGGAAAGCAAAGTCCTTTGTGATCCACACTGAGGAGTTTAAAAAGAGTGCTGCAGACAATGGGAAGCTCACAAAAGTTTCTTTTTCTTGTTAAGGGAAAAGGAGATTTAAAAACCCCCAAATCAAAATCTTCATTCAACACCATTTTCATATGGATACATCCAGACTTTATTCTACAAGTGTGTGCATATCCAATATGTAAAATAACAGTATACACATAATTTTGTATTAAATGTTTTCACTTAGCCATATATATCCCAACACTATTTTATATTAACAAACATATACATGTATGCTGGTGAGACAGGAACCAGCCTAGTGAGACAGGGCCATCTGCAAAGCCCCTGGCCTAATAAGATCGGGCCACTAACCAATCAACAAGCTGGGACAATCAGACAGAAACCACCAAGATCCACATTGCTTAGGCTCTGGACTTTCCTGGGCTTACACATGCACCCCAGCACCCAGGAGTCTACAGAAGGTGACCCTAGCCCCATCAGCACGGTAAAAATCACCCCCAGGGGTGGAGAGCTAGCATGCTAGTGATACACACGTTGCATGTAGTAGCATGCTGCACAATAGCGCAGGCACAGAACAACCCCACCTCTACATCCCACGACAAGGCCCTCCTCCCTAACCTTTGCCTAATAGAAGCCCCACAAACCTGCTACCTAATGAGCCAGTCACCTGCCCCTTTCTTTCATGCACTGGCTTCCTTGTGCCTCCCCTGTACACAAGCTAATAAACTTTTATTTTTCTACTTCCGTTTGTTCTCTCTCTTGATTTCTGTCCTGGGGAACGACAAGAACACAATATGATGGTAACACTGGGATAATGTTGAAAATATATAACAACCAATATGGGAAAATAAAATTAATATATAAATTTAAATTTTAAATATAATCCATCATATTCTCTAAATAAACAAAAGTGTACAGCAAAACTGCTTACCAAGTGATACATGTTGTCATACAAATCATTCATGTAAATGTAATGACTTCCACATGTGTTACACTGTGGAGTCCATCCCTGACCAAGTTTCTCTAGGCAGTCTGGAGTGAAGGCCCATAGCTTTGCCAACAATGAGACATAATCCGGCCTTAGGACAAAACCTGGACAGCCAGCAAAGTCTGGAGCAGAGCCCAGGTCATGTGAAACATTCTAAACTCTTAGTTCTGCTGATAGATCTAGAACTCTCTCCCTGTGCCCATCCTACTCTTCACTCTCACTCCAACACGGGGACTAGAGGGATTTTATTGATTTATCTTTCCCTTGATGACAATTCCAAAAGGATAAGGAGCTTCAACAGATGATGAAAAGGGTAGAGAAATTCCTGTGTATCTCTCCTCGCTGGTTATGGGGGTCTGTACCCTGGTTTGAGGTCTATACCCTGACTACATGAAGGCAATCCTGGGGAGATCAGGTGAGAGCAAAACCCACACCCTGGGGCAGCTCTTCCCTCTTGGGTCCACGCCCCTGAGTCGATGAAATTCCAGAAGAGACTGACAGTTCAGCCATCAATACACAAGCCAGCCTAAGGCCAACAATCATTACTTAAACTGAAGGTTTAAAGAGCTGTGTGGGGATGAATTTCTTTTTTCTTTTCTTTCTTTCTTTCTTTTTTAACCAAATGGGGATGATCTGTTATGGAAATTGCCCCAGATCTGAAAGACAGTTTCCTTTGCACACTGACTTGGGTTTGGCATCTCTAATTGTTGCCTGTCCTAGGCCATGGGATGGCTAAGCCACCACCAATTGTAGGAAAATCACAGGCCTCTGTCTTTTCTTTGGCACTGAGGACAGAGCCTGTGTTTCTTACAGATTCACCATCCTAGTCTTGTGGGTGCCCTCCTGCTGGGACTCTGAGTTTGCCTTCCTGAGCCCATAGTGACTATTAGGACAGAGAGTATCTGGGATGCAAGGCAAATAGAAGGTGGTTTGAGAGAAACTGGCAGCTGATAATCATCAGGAAGGGATGTAGCCCATGGTCTGAACTACAGCTGCCTCCTGGGGGCTACTGGTCTTGTTTGGTCCCCTCCACCTTCCTATAATGCACTGCCTCACCTTTCAGACCCCAAATCTCTTGGTACCTACAGATTCCTGGATCCCTGGATTGGTAAGTATGTCTAACCAGGACTGCAGTCCACAGCCAGTTTAGTTTGCCAAGAGCTGTATCTTTGGCTCACAGAGAATAACAGGTGACTGTCCACCATGTCACCACCCTCCTTTCTGAATCAAGCCTCATCTATCTTCCCGTAACAAGACCCTCCCCCTTCCTAATGGTGGTGAGAGCCCTCCTGAAGTTCAGCTTCTTCCACATCACTTCTCAGTACTCACCATGGTCTCAGCCTGACTTTTATTGAAGTCCTTCTATGAGCTGACCCCTACTTTTTTCCAACCTTTAACTCACAGCTGTCATAATCACTTTCCATGTACCAGCCATTTGGGGAAATTCTTAGTCCTGGAATTTACTGGCTTTCCTAACTTTGCCCATGATGGGCCTTCTTCTGACACCCTTGGTTACTCCCAGTTTCTACCCAGTCATCCCTCTGATCCTGTCTCTCACTCCTGCACACACTCCCATCTCTGGCCCAGGGTATGGTTTACTCCTCTGGCCCTGGGAAGACTTGGTTCCAACCCCAGTGGATGCTGACCCAAGCCTTCCACTATAACATCCTGAAGCCCTATGTGGCACTCATGGCCAACACTGAGTGATGCTGGTAAGTCCGTCCCTTTCTCACCTGCATGCACACAGTACAATTCACAGAAGCCAGTCCAGACATGTGCCCCTCAGACATCAGTCAGACACAGCCACCCAAAATAATGCACTTAGGTCTTATTATGAGACAGAGTTCCCCAAAAGTGAATGGGACAGTAGAGTACTCACAAGCCAGGTTGGATCCACACTTGGTTATTGCCAAGGGAAAGGAGGGCTATGGTGGATAACAGAGTTCACTCTTCTCACACCTCCACATCTTCAGCACCGTGGACTAGAGCAAATGTCATTTCCACTGGACAGCAAGACAAACTGACACTGGCTGGCCTGGGAAGCGGAAGCCTCAGCAGCAGATTGGACATGCCAGGATATCACCCAGGTGGGCTCTGGCCAGGGGACCAGGGCTTTTACATGGATTTGAGCCACTATCTAGAAGGAAATGGAAACCAGGTCAACACTCTCAGAGCCAGGTCCTGCCATCACATCACTTCCCATTAGGGCTGTGATTTCAAACCAACTGTGCTCAGCTTACATTTGAGGAATGAAAGGAATTGAAGTCCCTGATGTTCCTTCCTTGGGAGCCCCAGTACACATCCCTTAGGATTTTTCTTGCCTTGACTCGTTTGCTCCCTGAAGTTAGACTTCTCCTGTCCCTAAGTTCTAGCTCAGCTCTCAGAACACAAAAGATTCTTCCTCTGTCCCCTGAGAAACAGTGTTTTCTGCTGTGCCAAAAGGTGGTTATCATTGTAACTAATTCCTAAAATTTAAAACTAATTCAGACTATTATGACATTATTAATTATTTTTTAAAGTATCTGAGAAAATAGGCCTCACATTACAAAGACTTGCATATAGTCTTATTTGCTGTAATGCATCTTTTTTAGAAAGTGAGGAAATCCTTAAAGAATATTTAGAAAGACAGAGAGAGAGCATGACCTTGTCATCACAGGCCTTCTAGGGGAGCAGAGGAGGGTCAATGTCCTCTTCCCACCACAAGACAAATGGGAGGAGCTCATCAGCCAGGACTTGCTTCTGGAGATCTTTGGACATATCTCCTTGATGACACTGGACATCATCATGAAGTGTGCCTTCAGCCACCAGGGCAGCAGACAGGGCCATGATAACCCTTCTGCTGTAGGGTCTTATTTCTTACCCATTGGTGTGGACTTACCTGAGGGGTAATAGGGCAGCTTGGATGTCTACAGCACAAAAAACAGCATTCTGTCAAGAGCCCCCAACAATTGTTAAATTCCATATAGATCAAAACTTGACCCAGCCATGGATCCCTGATCCCTGGTTTAGGTAGAAGCCTGGCTGCCCACACCACTTATAATAAGGGGCTGAGGGTCTCAAAGTCTGTGAGATGACAATGACCAATGCTTCAGTGTGGTCTGTCCCCACTGACTGAGGAAACCTCCACCCTGAGTCCTACTCCACCTCCAGGTCAGAGGCCTCCCTGCAAACCAGTCTCTTCTTCATCTTTCCCCTTCAGGAACTTGCAATCCTACACCCAGGTCATTGGGGACCTGAACAGTCTGATTTTCATGGGTGAGGAATGTCTTCTACCAGAATGACATCATCAACAGGCTAACACCTGCTGGCTGCTGGAACCACTGGACCTGCCAACTTGCCCAAAACACAGGTTGGATTCTACCTCCTGGGCTACTCCCCTTGTTCATGAGGTACCTCCAAAGGGGACTACCCCTGACACCTCAGGCAGAGCTCAGTCCCCTGTTGCCCCTCTAGGAGCTAGGACACAACCATGCTGGGTAATGCCCCAGTGTAGGGGGGTAGTAAACAATATTTTAGGGGGACCGGTGTTGTGCAGGGGTTCACAAGTGTCACCATATTGGTGATGGTTGAATGTGACCCCTCCCAGCAGCATTCAAGTAGAGCCTCCATGGCCTGCACTATTAAATAGAGGGGAGGCCTGACCTGTGATCAGATGATGCTAGAGCTCTCACCCCTGATGTGCACACCCACTCACATACTTGTCATGATCCACTTGGCACCCAGATTGGGGCAGGGGCAAGATGGGGCTACTGTGGGTTTCTGCATCTGAGCACCCAGACCTCTCAGCTCTGCCTGGGAACCACTGTTCTGGCACAGATTGCGTGATCAAGCTGACGAAGGCTCACCTGCAGAAGGAGGGAGAGCTGGAGAAGGTCAGGAGGAAGAAGAGTCACTTGGATTTCCTGGACATCCCCCTCACTGCCAGAGTGAGTGTGGTAGAAGAGGCCTGATGATGTGCCCAGGAGTGCAGAAGATGGGGCAAACCCTGCACTCTTGCCATGCCTTCCCCAGATGGAGAATGGGAGCAGCTTGTCTGATGCAGACCTCCTTGCTGAGGTGGACAAGTTCATGTTCAAGGGCCATGACACCACAGTCAGTGGCATCTCCTGGATCCTCTATGCTCTGGCCACGTACCCCGAGCATCAGCAGAGGTGCTGGGAGGAGATCCTGAGCCTCCTGGGAGATAGCGCCTCCATCAGGTGGTGAGTGCTCAAGAGATGGGAGAGCCCTGCCCACTGAGCTAGAGAAACCCCTGGTCTGCCCAGACCCTGCCCACCCTTCAGGATGGGCTTCGGTTTCAGGGGCTGCCTGGACCAGTTGTCCAACACCACCATGTTCATCAAGGAGGCACTGTGACTCTATCTACCAGTACCAGGTGTTGGCAGAGAGCTCAGCAAGCCCATCACCTTCCCTGATGGATGCTCCTTACCCAGAGGTATGAACTGCATCACACTCACTAACCTGAGCATTCTGTGAGAACACAAGGAAGATCAGAAATCCATGTGAGCTAGAGCAACTCTGAAGCTCTCTGGTTCTTGTTTTCCTCTCAAGAAAATCAATCCTTATTTTGTAATTAGGAAATGCTAGGCACAGAACTTTAACCCAGCAAAAGCTCAACAAACAAATGCTAGCCTCTGAATGTGGGCTGGGAATTAGCCCTAAAATTCTAATTTCCTGACATGTGAGGGCTGGAGAGACAGACAGGGGTTGGGGGAGATGTAGTTCTTTCCTTATGGGGTCTAGGCAAATGAGGGAAATCAGGGAATCCACTGTCATGGATCAGATGGTCCAGTCTCTGAGGAGCCCTCAGGTTGATGGCAGAGAGCAGCTGATGACCAGATCTGAGACCATGCCATGGTTGGAGACCACCCTTTGACTCACCTGCCATTGGGTCTGAATCCTAGCCCTGCCACATCCTAGCTGTGTGATCATAGGCAAGTACCCCAGTCTCTCTGAGGCTCAGGTACCTCATCTGAACAATGAGGATATGAGGGACTTTCTTGGAGGGTTGATGTGAGGATTGAATGTGTTAATGCATATTCCCAAGGGCTCATGGATGGCATTTGATTAGTGTGAATTTTCACTTGAGTTGCTTCAAAAAGTAAGCCTCCAATTTTTTCTTGATTCTCAATCCTGGGTCCTGGTTATCTCCTCCTAATCTGTGCACATGAGCTTTTCCATGTCCACCCCACCTCTCTAGCAGCAGGCTCATTCCACTCAGAGTGATGGGAAGTGGCTCCCAGTCTTTCCTGCATGTACACGCCTCCTGGTGGCAGAGGCACTGGGCCTCACTCACCCCATGAGTATGATCAGACTTCTTTCTTCTTCTTCTTCCCTGCAGGAATCACAGTCTTGCTTTCCTTTAATGCCCTTCACCATAGCCTGAAGGTGTGGCTGAACCCAGAGATATGATGGCCTATGGGAGGAGGAATAGTGATGATCTCTCCAGACCAATGCCATGTCTCCCTCCCACCTCCAGGAGTCCTGTCCTGTCATGGATTGGAAGGAAGGGCTTGACCCCACTTGCCCTACCCCTAGTGCTCTCTCTGCAGGTGTTTGATCCTTCCTGGTTTGCACCAGGTTCTACTCAACACAGCCACACTTTCCTGCCCTTCTCAGGAGGATCAAGGTGAGGCATCCTGTACTTGCAAGGGGAGTGTCACTGGGTGCATTCTTGATGTTTGCGATGTCTTATGTTCATATTGGTGTGTGCAGTTATGCCATTGTATGTCAACGTGTAGGGAAGGATATCTGTGAACGAAATAAAGGTGGCATTTCAGGAAACACCACAGGGACTTTGACCCACTGATTTTTCCAAATGGCTGCCACAATTCAGTGTCAGTGCTGTTCTGAAGTTCAGTGTATTCTGGTGTTTTCTCCACTCTAGGAGTATGACTCTTCAAAATTAGAATCTTTCACAAAATTAAACTTCAGATGGTTGCTTTGCTCAACTATCAGTAACCTTAACAGGTGGTTTTCTCTCTTCCCACATTCACAGTCCAGCTCAGGCCCTTTTCTCCTTAATTCTCTGATCTACCACTCACTGACTCAGTAATGTTTGTGTGTGTTGGAATTTGCAGCCCCTTCTTTGTCTAGCTGTTCAGCCATATACAAGGAAGTTTACAGTAGCCATTGGAAGAAAACTTCACACCTATATGTTTCTTCCCTATTTTTGCATCTATCCCAATAAAATTTGGACTGCATATTAATATTTACATAACCATGACAACTTTTCCAGTTGGCAAGTTTCTTTATATGACATGGGATCTAATACTATAGTCCCAGAGTCTACATGGTCCAACATTGGCAAAAAAGCATAACAATGAGGACAATCAACTGCTTTTGAGAGAAGATCCACTATTCCATGTATGACACATGGCTTTGAAAGCTTCCTGGTGTGTAAAATCTAAAGCACACTTGAAACACCTGTTGAGCTGGGTGAGTTCACTCCAGAGTAGCTGCTGTGAAAATCCTCCAATGGTGCTGGAATCATCCCATGAAATAGTAATTTTCACAAACTATGTAAGTAGCTACTAGAAATGTTTTTTTCCTGAATCCACAATATGTGAAATTTTCAATTGGTGTATCACCTTTCAGAGAATAGGCTTTAAGCAATTGTTCTTCCAGGAATTGGCTCTAAGATTTGGTTTCTCTCAGGACTGAGTCCTTCCTCATAGACATTGGCTACAAGTCATGTGGCTCCCACTAGATGACATGAGCATATTAGCCAGCTCAATTCCCAGGTGCCAAACAGGTGCCAAATATCCTTATTATAAAGTGAGGTTAGTGCTAAAGTAATGGAAAAGGATTTGCTAAGGATATTTCTGAAAACCAGCTTTGGAAACTTTAGCTCATCATATAAATCAAGAATGTGTAACCAATGGCTAAGGATTAAAAAGAGGAGGCTTAAGAGTTTTGAGAAAAATAAATCATTTAACAAAAATTAAAGGAATGCCAGAGTAAGGTGAGGAATGGAGGAGGGTGTTCCTCACCATGCTAAGCCAAGGGGTCTTCAGAAGGGTCACTTAGATGATCTGACACGTGCACTTTGAAGTTTGGGGATCATAGGATTGATAGAAAGCCTGTGACTGAGAATAGACAGAGGGACGGGGTGAGCAGCAGGGAAAGGCAGGAATGTTCCAGTGTGTTATGTGAGCCAATGAAACCACAGGAGAGAGAGCTGCAAAAGCAGCTTGAAAGGAACTCGGACCTAGGACAAGAATTCTCTTGCCCCATGAATCACCATTGCAAAGTCCCAGTGAGGGAATCTCCAAGAAACACACAGACGCTCCCATCAAGAGTAAAAGAAAGAAGTGACTATCCACCAAGGTCAGAGAGCAAGATCACAACAGCAGCAGCTCCTTTCTCCTTATCTACTTTCCATCCTGGGACCAGTTTTAGAAGGCTCAGAAACAGCAGCTAGTGGGAACGGGAGGAGCTGGAGAGTAAGAAGAAGCCAACCCCAACCCCTCACACATCAGTGGCTTCCAGACCCAAAGAAGTACTGAGCTGGATCGGGGGAGATGCTCCAAGTAGATGATAATTTGACGTTTTTATTATGACACTGGGCCAGACACTTAATTACTGAAATGAGACTGCTCTTGTGACTTAAATGGATGAGAACTCTATGAGATTAATTTACGATTACACACAGGAGATGAAAAGAACTTGCCCCACACAGCAAGTGTGAAGCGCCAGTAGAAGAAGAATAAAGTTTTTATTTGCATGCTAGCTGGTCAGGTGGGTTCACTAAAATGACTGCATGTATTTTGTCTATTTGCTTTATTGTATTTATGTTTGCTTTCCTAATAACTTATTTTAAATACAGGATTCAGCCATTAGTTAATGTGAAATTTTAATTTTGGACTCTTTCCTCCTCACATCCAGAATAAAAAGAATAATTCTGCTTAGCCTGGCACTTTGCATATTTAAGAGAAATGATGCTGTCCACCTCAACCCTGCTACAAAAAGAAGAGGGGAATTTTAACTCAATGCAGAAATGGGCTAGAAAGGAGCCAAATGGAGATGTTGAACAACTTTCCACCTTTTCCAGAAATTGCTCTTTGCAGCATGGTTTTATTATCTGTCCAAAAGATTTATATATTCTCAGAATGCTATATGAAAATTTCATTAACTGTAACTACAAGGCTACATTACAGAATAAAAATAATTTATTCTCCATACTATTATTACCATTTCTCTCATTACAATCAGTGGTAGTTAACAGATCCTCTGGACTTTGCTTTCTCACCTGGAAAAGATTTATTTATTGTTATCACATTGTACATAGTCCAAAAAAGAATGACAAATGTCAATATTTGAGTTGTATATACATCCATCCTAATCAAGATAAAATATCTAATTAGATCCTAATGTCAGCATCATGGCAGAGTGAGTTCTTCCCTTTGTCTCTCCCCTCCAAGATACTATGAAAAAGATAGTCATAAACCAACAGAAGACATTCACACAATACAAAAGACATCTGAGAGACTCACGCAGCCATACATCTGAAGGTGGAGGTGTTTGACGCCCCCCCAGAGGAAATGGAAGGAGATAAGGGGATCTCCTCTCCCTCCCCCAATGGCAGTGACCCAAGGTGTGAGACTGCCTGTCGCTCTAAGAAAAGAGGGGGAGGGGTAGCTCTTTGCAGGGACAGTTTCACTCTCCAAGTTCCCTCACAGCCCATGGGAAAGCCCCACACAGAAGTCGACATTGTGCAGATATCTTCATCAAGCTAGCACCTGAGGAGACGAGATAGCAAGAGCAGAGCAAGAATGCTCCCAGGATCACACAGGTGAAAGAAAGTGCCCCTACCCCCACCTGGCACTCCAGCTCAGTCAATAGGCCAGAGCATTCATGCATGGGTTAGAAAAGCAGCAGCTGTGAGCAAGAGAACTGGCAATCACAGACAGGCACTATCAGCATAGATTCTAAAAGACAGGCACAGATGCAAGGGGTTGCCTCAGGCTCAGAATACACAGCTCTTAACTTCCCCACATTTGCACCAGGTGGAAGCTGCAAACAGATACTATTAAAATATTAAGACACAAATCCATGCCATCAAATAGTGTGAAGAAATCTATTAATACTCCAGACAAAAGGAAAATGATGAGCACCCAGAAATCAATTCTGAAGGCACAGAAATTTATAATCTAAATGACAGAGAATTAAAAATAGATATCATAAAAAACTCAATGAATTACAAGAAAATACAGACAGACAGTTCAATGAAATCAGGGACAAAACTAATGAGCAGAGAGAATTCTTCACAAAAGAGATTGCAACTACAAAGAAGAACCAATCAGAAATGTTGGAGACGAAAAACACAACAGATGAAGTAAAAAAAAAAAAAAAAAAAAAAGAACTCCCTGGATAGCAGAGCTGATATTGTGGAGGACAGAAATAGCACTTTGGAGAACACAAATATAGAAATGCTTCAGATGAAGGAGGAGAGAGAATTAAGACTAAAAAGAAATGAAGAAATTCTCCGAGAAATATCCAACTCAATTAGGAAATGCAATATAAGGATTATAGGTATTCAAGTGGGAGATGGCAGTTGAAAGGAGCACACAGCTTGTTCAAAGAAATAATAGCTGAGAAATTCTTAAACCTCGGGAAAGAGCTGGAAACACAAGTAAAAGAAGCTAATATAACTCTGAATTATATTAATGTATAAAGACCTTCTCCAAGGCGTATAGTAGTAACCTGGTAAAAGTCAATGACAAAGAAAAAATATTCAGGGCGATAAGGTAGAAGAAAATACCTTACAAAGGAAGCACCAGCACACTTTCAGTAGACTTCTCAGCAGAAAACTTAGAGACTAGGAGAGAGAGGAATGATATATTCAAGATTCTGAAAGACAAAAATATTCAGCCAAGAATACTCTGTACAGCAAAAATATCCTTCAGATATGATGGAGAAATAAAACCTTCTGCAGATAAACAAAAGCTCAGGGAGTTCATCACCATAAGACCCCCCCACCCACTATAAGAAATGCTCAAGAAGGTCCTCATACTTGAAAAAAGAAAGGGTGTACAAAGATTTGAGCAAGGAGATATATAGGCAGACTAAATCAGAAAATTGCAGCTCTCTATCAGAACAGGTTAGCAAACGTTTAATTATAACATTAAAGAGAAAGGGAAGGAAAACATAAAAAATACATATAATCACCTCATTTTAACCACAAACTCACAACACAAGATGGAATAAGTTGTGACAACAATAACTTAGAAGGGGAAGAGGAAAGAAAGGGAATTGGCTTAGTTTAAGGAAATAGGCTATCAGAAAAATGACTATCTCATCCATGGGATTTTTTTATACAAACATCATGGTAACCACTAAACAAATAATCAAAAAAGAGACAAAAATGAAAAATAAAGAGAAAACTATCATAGAGAACTGCAAAACTGAATTGGT